ATTGAAAAAACGCGCCTACTCCGTCATTTAAATAGCAGAATATCCGGTCATGTCCAATCACTCAACGATTCGAATAGCCATATGCTCAGGTCCTCACTTCCAGTATTCACGATTATATTTTAAAGTGGCAAAGGAAGTATTCATTCTTTCGAATTCATACGTCACAAACGAATGTTCGATATTCGTTCAACAGAGAGAATTTTTGGTTTACTACACTCATCACTAGCAGTTTTCCAATTTTCTTCGAGCGGTTCTCATTTTTTTTTATCTAGCAATGCAAATATAGTCGCTATGAATAAACAGTGTTGTATTTGAAGACTACTGCATGATGAATGAGAGATGAGTTCACGGGTAGCGCAGAACTAATATAACATGGTGGATTTCCATCACAATAAGACAAACAACACGCAAGCATGCAGGTAACAAAAATGATACAACCATGAAAGGCAACTTGTTACCCTGGGTACCCTAATCAAAAGGAAAGCTCAAATTAGTTGCGTCGTTCCTCACACGACAAATAAGGGATTTAACGCCAAATCAAAATTTTACTCTGGCATATTTTATTCATTTCCTCGAAATCAAATTAAGATTATGATTTAAATCTCGCCGCATATCCTTCTGGAGGACTTAGAGACTCATCATTATATATTACAATTCTTCTATTAGGTGCATCCTGTTTCCAAATAATTAGATCAAAAATGTTTCCAACTGTTTTTATACTGCTTTGACAAATATATCAGGGTCTTTTGAACAAGGGGTTAATGAGTGTATATCTTCTATCCACACTGAATTCGGTTAATGACTGTTCCTTAGGAAGTTGCCATTTAGTTACCTGCACCCACTCTATATGCTGTAATCTTCAATTTTCCTTGAGTTTACTTTCAGTTACTTGTAAAACTATTTGTCAATTTTGATATTCATGCAGTCTTCAAGTGAGTTGACCATGTTTATGTAATACATACTCGGCTCAGAAGTTATGGCATGGAAAAATTTCGTTAGATAGATTTGATTCAATATCCTTCTCTCTCACTCATATTCAAACTGAACAAATGTGAAGATACGCCGCATTAGAAGGCAAAAGCAACCTATGACAGAACTCAGAATTCGAGAAAAAAAACGACACTACCATTATAAATACATATGGAGATGAAGTGATTGAGCCAGTAAAGAGATACAAGTGTGCAGTTATTCCATTTTTAAACGTATATCAAAGAATCACTCAATCAACACCAAGGTAGGCAACAATAAAACCG